CTAACTCTCTCCCTCCCCCTACTCCCTCCCAACTCTCTCTCCCTACTCCCTCCCAACTCCCTCCCCCCCCTCCTCCCTCCCAACTCTCTCCCCCTCCTCCCTCCCAACTCCCCCCCCCCTCCTCCCTCCCAACTCCCTCCCCCTACTCCCTCCCAACTCTCTCCCCCTCCTCTCCTCGCCCCCCCTACTCCCTCCCAACTCTCCCCCCCTCCCTCCCAACTCTCCCCCCCCTCCCTCCCAACTCTCTCCCCCTCCATCCTACCAACTCCCTCCCCCACCTGCTCTGGTCCCCTTCTCTCCCAGTATTCTCTCTTCCCTATCTCATTGTTCCTCTTTATTTCTTATTTATTCTCAGATCTCCGTACTCCTCCTTCCTAGTCCATCTAGCTCCCTCTAATTTCTCCAACTTCTCCGTCTCCTCCATTATATGATTTTCTATAGATATCCCATTTCTTCCACCTCTACCGAAATCTCTCAATTTTATCCTCCTCCAGATGTCAGAGTTCTTCCTGTAAACGTAATCCATCCTACTTATCCAATCCTTTATTTTTGGTACTTCTTGTTTCTGCCAAAATGTAGGAATCAGTCCTTTTGCAGTGTTTATAAGATGGAATTCCACAGAGTTTTTATATTTCTCTACTGTGTTCTCTGTTTTATGGAATAAACAAGTCCCTGGGTCTTTCGATATGCTCTTCCCAGTAATCCCCCGTATTTGGTATATTATTTCCTCCCAATATTTCTGTATTTTAAAACATTCCCACCAAATATGTGCCATAGTGCCCTCTTCCTCACATCCCCTCCAACACTTAGGTGACTTATCTACTTGTTTATGTGCAACATTCGGTGTAACATACCACCTTGCTAAACATTTATCATTCATTTCCACTACTTTCATGTCTACAGCCCCCTGTGCCAGCAATTTTGTTTTTTGCCAAAATTTTGGCAAAGTGAAATCCCCTGATTTCCTTCATCCCTAGTACTGGCCAGATTCCGGTTCCTTGGCAGCGGGTCTGTTATTTCATCCCTACGGTCTATTGTTCTTCAGGTCTTTCTTTGGGATTCAGACTTCTTCTTGGAATTTCTGGCTCTTTTAGGTGTATTGAGTGCCGCCATTTACCGATCCTGTAAAATAAAGAGGCATTATTAATGGGGTCTGGGAATACGCCGCCATCGATGTGCCTTGATGGACCCAGCTCTCTATGTGGAAATCCATTATCCCATCTCTGATGAGCAGAACCGGACTCCGGTTAAGGTAGCGATAAGAATGTTTATTACCGTAACAAGGAGGTTTCAGGATGTTCAGAGAATCCTCCGGGGAGCTTAATGAGTTATCAACTGGCTTCCACTTCCAGGAGATGAGCTGTCAAGGCACACCTCATAGAACAATGATTAATGGGCTCTAAATATGATCCGTCTGCTGATTAATACTGTGTATTAATGTGTCTCTTTTCCCCTGTGGGGATTCACCAACACAGAGCTTGTACAGCTCGCTAGTCTTGATCCCCCTTCCCCGCTGAGTTTTTTTCTGTGTAAATAAAAAATCGAATAACTTTCCCTCCAGCAAGAGCTCCGGAAGACGGGGGTGGATTTTCTTTCTTAAAGTGGCTTAAACTAGTTTCTTTCTTAATCTCTCTGCATGTCTCCCCCCCCCCCTGCGTTGCTGATCCAGTTGGAACCCAACATCGGAGAAATGAAGATGCAACAACACCGCTTCGCCTTAGAAAAGCTCCAATGGCTTACAAATGGCAGTCTGGCCTTACCCTGGGTTCACACTTCGGTGGGAGTTTTCAGAAATGCACTACAGTCCATTTAGCGTGGTTTTCTGTGGATCTAGTTCACATCTGTGCATTTTGAGCCGGTCCGTTTTTTGAAAGGGTCAGGGATGTTTTTTTTTTTTCCCTCAGCAGATTACGTTTTGCGTGTAATAGATTTCAATGGACCCACGCCAAAAATGTTTTTGATGTGTTTTGCGTTTTGTTTTGTTTTTTGCTAACAGAAAAGTAGGACAGTTCTGTTCATGTAGTGCGACTTTGATGCGATTTTGCACTCTCTGGCATTCAAGTCGCATCAAAGTAGTGCAGGAACCTTTATGTGACCAAAGTCACATATTAGGGTAAGGGTCAGGGGCCACGGTTAGAGATAGAGTTAGGATTAGCAGTAATTGTTAAGGTTGAAACACTAACCTTAATTCTAACCCTTACCCTAGCTCTTGACCCCAACCCTAGCCATTAACCCTAACCCTCTCTGACCCCAACCCTAACGTTAGCCCCTAACCCTAGCTCTTGACCCCAACCCTAGCCGTTAACCCTAACTCTAGCTCTTGACCCCAACCCTAGCCATTAACCCTTACCCTAGCTCTTGACCCTCAACCCTAGCCATTAACCCTTACCATAGCTCTTGACCCCAACCCTAGCCATTAACCCTAACCATAGCTCTTGACCCTCAACCCTAGCCATTAACCCTTACCCTAGCTCTTGACCCTCAACCCTAGCCATTAACCCTTACCCTAGCTCTTGACCCTCAACCCTAGCCATTAACCCTTACCCTAGCTCTTGACCCCAACCCTAGCCATTAACCCTAACCCTAGCTCTTGACCCCAACCCTAGCCATTAACCCTAACCCTAGCTCTTGACCCCAACCCTAGCCATTAACCCTAACCCTAGCTCTTGACCCCCAACCCTAGCCAGCTTAACCCCTTACCCTAGCCATTAACCCTAACCCTAGCTCTTGACCCCAACCCTAGCCATTAACCCTAACCCTAGCTCTTGACCCCAACCCTAGCCATTAACCCTACCCTAGCTCTTGACCCCCAACCCTAGCCATTAACCCTTACCCTAGCCATTAACCCTAACCCTAGCTCTTGACCCCAACCCTAGCCATTAACCCTAACCCTAGCTCTTGACCCCCAACCCTAGCCATTAACCCTTACCCTAGCTCTTGACCCCAACCCTACCCTAGCCATTAACCCTTACCCTAGCCATTAACCCTAACCCTAGCTCTTGACCCCAACCCTAGCCATTAACCCTAACCCTAGCTCTTGACCCCAACCCTAGCCATTAACCCTTACCCTAGCTCTTGACCCCAACCCTAGCCATTAACCCTTACCCTAGCTCTTGACCCTAGCCATTAACCCTTACCCTAGCTCTTGACCCAACCCTAGCCATTAACCCTAACCCTAGCTCTTGACCCTAGCCATTAACCATAACCCTAGCTCTTGACCCTTACCCTAGCCCTTGACCCTATTAACCCTAACCCTAGCCCTTAACCCTAACCCTAGTGATTAACCCTTACCCTAGCTCTTGACCCTTACCCTAGCTCTTGACCCTTACCATAGTCATTAACCATAACCCTAGCTCTTGACCCTAACCCTTAACCATAGAGGAGTATGTTCCTTCTGACTTCCTCACCCTCTGCAATGCTGCTGCGGTTGAGCGCCACATTGCAGCGGATAAAAGAGACTGCACCTGCCTACAATGGGTCTGTAACAGCTGTGATCGTTAGCAGTTTCTTGTAACATGTCCTCAGTCTCCGACAGCTTGACTCCAGTCTTCAACAACTCCCGTAGTTCAGTCTATGACCCTCTCCTCTTCTAAGTCTCCAGTCTTTGACAGTCTTTTGTAGCAATATATATAAGAAATATTGTATGCGGCCCTTTGGGATCGTATTTGAGGACCCATATACCTTGGGTCGCTGTAGCAGGTACTGCTTCTCCAATGGTCTCCAATAGCTTCCGGGTTCCATGCCAAGTGGTTGCTCTGCTGCATTGTGGCTGATGGGCACGGGCACCATTCTGAGGGTGCTTTGCATTTTCTCAATGAATGAAAAACATTCTCTGATAGGACAAGGTAGAGCGTGAGATGTTACCGCCCCACATCTCCCCTTAAGCCTGGTACAACCCAGAGGGCTGAATGAAAAAATCTGACAGATCAACATACCAACACAAATGATGTTGGTGCGGTGATCTCCCCTTCTGTACCTTTGTATTCTGACAGGGTGACTCCCCCTATAGCCATTGGCCATACGCGCTGATTGGATGCTGGCTTTCCAGCATGTCCCTTTGACAAAAGCTGGTCATTAGAAGTGAATGGCTGTAGGGGGCCATACTTTTTGTATTCACCAACCCTTCTTGACCTGTGCATGCGCCTCTGATGTATCTCTCAAACATAATCAGGAAACATGCCAAATGCGCATTCATGGGTGAACAGCCATTCATTTGTATGGCAGGGTGTATGATTCACATGCAGCTCCCCGGTGCGGGAAAGTGCTGGAAGCTGCTTTAGTAAAAGACAGTGTCATCTGTGATGAAACGCGTAGGATGGGGCCTACAAGAGTGACGTCACCACGCACGTGGAGTGGACGGACGGGTCCGTACTGTTAGCCAATAGGAACTCCACGTTCTTGTAAATACAATGGTGATTGGGATCTGGTAAGGAGCTGCCGTGTGTTCTTTTGGGATTGGGTGCACTGCGCACAAATTTGTTGCAATTATAGATGTCTTCCCAGCACTTGGGCGTCTTCTCTTTAAATTTGTGAAGATCATTACATTTTATTTTTGGGGGTTTGGATTTTATGGAATCACTTTATGTGGACATTTCAGTCGATTCATTTCATACATTTGGACACTTTTTGAATGTTTTTTTATGTATATTCCCATGATTTTATATTAAATCGACATTCCACCTAAAAGTGGAAGCCCAACTTATCTGACTCCCTCCCTCCGCTGCCACATTTGGCACCTCTTGGGGGGAGGGGGGAGAAGCAGGAAGGAAGATTCCTGGTGGTTCCAAACTTCTTCCATTTACGGATGATGGAGGCCACTGTGCTCGTTGAGACCTTCAATGCTGCAGAAATGTTTCTGTACCCTTCCCCCGATCTGTGCCTTCATACAATCCTGTCTCAGAGGTCTACGGACGACTCCTTAGACTTCATGGCTTGGTTTGTGCTCTGACATGTACTGTTACCTGTGGGATCTTCTATAGTTTATGCCTTCCCTAATCATGTCCATTCCACTGAATGTCCCACAGGTGGACTCCATTCCACTGAATGTCCCACAGGTGGACTCCAATTCACTGAACGTCACACAGATGGACTCCAATTCACTGAATGTCCCACAGGTGGACTCCAATTCACTGAATGTCCCACAGATAGACTCCAATCCACTGAACGTCACACAGATGGACTCCAATCCACTGAACGTCACACAGATGGACTCCAATCCACTGAACGTCACACAGGTGGACTCTAATCCACTGAACGTCCCACAGGTGGACTCCAATCCACTGAACGTCACACAGATGGACTCAAATCCACTGAACATCACACAGATGGACTCCAATCCACTGAATGTCCCACAGCTGGACTCCAATCAACTGAACATCTCACAGATGGACTCCGATCCACTGAACGTCCCACAGGTGGACTCCAATCCACTGAACGTCCCACAGGTGGACTCCAATCCTATGAATGTCCCACTGGTGGACTCCAATCCACTGAATGTCCCACTGCTGGACTCCAATCAACTGAACATCTCACAGATGGACTCCAATCCACTGAACGTCCCACAGCTGGACTCCAATCCACTGAATGTCCCACAGGTGGACTCCAATCCACTGAACGTCCCACAGGTGGACTCCAATCCACTGAATGTCCCACAGGTGGACTCCAATTCACTGAATGTCCCACAGGTGGACTCCAATTCACTGAATGTCCCACAGGTAGACTCCAATCCACTGAACGTCACACAGATGGACTCCATTCCACTGAATGTCCCACAGGTAGACTCCAATCCACTGAACATCACACAGATGGACTCCAATCCACTGAACGTCACACAGATGGACTCCAATCCACTGAACGTCACACAGATGGACTCCAATCCACTGAACGTCACACAGATGGACTCCAATCCACTGAACGTCACACAGATGGACTCCAATCCTGAACGTCCCACAGGTGGACTCCAATCCACTGAACGTCACACAGATGGACTCAAATCCATTGAACATCACACAGATGGACTCCAATCCACTGAATGTCCCACAGGTGGACTCCAATCCACTGAATGTCCCACTGGTGGACTCCAATCCACTGAATGTCCCACTGCTGGACTCCAATCAACTGAACATCTCACAGATGGACTCCGATCCACTGAACGTCCCACAGGTGGACTCCAATCCACTGAACGTCCCACAGGTGGACTCCAATCCTATGAATGTCCCACTGGTGGACTCCAATCCACTGAATGTCCCACTGCTGGACTCCAATCAACTGAACGTCTCACAGATGGACTCCAATCCACTGAACGTCCCACAGCTGGACTCCAATCCACTGAATGTCCCACAGGTGGACTCCAATCCACTGAACGTCCCACAGGTGGACTCCAATCCACTGAATGTCCCACAGGTGGACTCCAATCCACTAAACGTCCCGCAGGTGGACTCCAATCAATTGAACGTCTCACAGATGGACTCCAATCCACTGAACGTCCCACAGGTGGACTCCAATCCACTGAATGTTCCACAGGTGGACTCCAATCCACTGAATGTCCCACAGGTGGACTCCAAGCCACTGAACGTCCCTGTCAGGCTCCGCCCAACGGGATCTCTAGTGGTCCACGGCACGGGGTTTCCCAGGACGCGGAGTCTAAGTCCCAGTCTGCCTTTTCACCAGGGCCCCTGATGGTGGGGATGGACTTGGTGCAAGACTGAAACCAGGTCGCGTCCCTGGGCACCCCCGGCGGCAGCAGAGGGGTCCCGCTGAGGGTATGTGCCCGGGTTGAGCCTGCTGTGAAGGGGATGACAGATCCCGATCCGAGGGGATGGATGGGATGACAGATCCCGATCCGAGCGGGATGGATGGGATGACAGATCCCGATCCGAGCGGGATGGATGGGCAACTATCAGGAGTAGGCGAGGTCAGACTAGCCGGGTCGGTATTGTGCGGGCAGCGTGGTACAGGGGGAGTAAGCGGAGAATGGTCGGGGTCACAAGCCAGGTTCAGCAGGTAGCGGGCAGCGCGGTACAGAGGGTCAGGCAGAAGGATGGTCAGGGACGAGCCGGGGTCAGAGCAGGAGAAGGTCAGCATAAACAGAACAGGCAGAGTTTGGCAACAAGGAAGCGTACTTACAGGAACAGGAACGAGACCTTGCGGCAACTTGGAGATGCACAGGGCAGCTTTAAATAGAGCGCCCTGCTCTCCCATTGGTGCGGCCGCGATCGCTACTGCGCATGCGCGGCCGCCGCGATCGCCGAGGATTCTGCGCTCGCCGGCTGGGACGGATCGGCGGTCTGCGCATGCGCGCGCCGCCGAGGACCCGGGATCCCTGACAGTCCCACAGGTGGACTCCAATCAACTGAACGTCCCACAGGTGGACTCCAATCAATTGAACGTCCCACAGGTGGACTCCAATCAACTGAACGTCCCACAGGTGGACTCCAATCAATTGAACGTCCCACAGGTGGGCTCCAATCAAGTTGTGGAAACATCTCAAGGATGATCAGTGGGAACAGGATGCACCAGAGCTCAATGTTGAGTGTCATGGCAAAGGCTGGGCATACTTATGTACATTGGGGGGGTTCGTTTTTTATTTTTAATAAATTGCAAAGATTTCAAAACAAACTTCTTTCCCGTCGTCATTATGGGGGATTGTTTGTAGAATGTGGAGGGAAAAATGAATTGAGTCCATTTTGGAATAAGGCTGTAACATAACAAAACGTGGCAAAACGTGGCAAAAGTTAAGCGCCGGGAATACTTTCCGTATGCGCTGTAATTCATCGAATTCCTCGCAAAACTGCGCACATTGAAACGGCCTCAGATCTGCTCGATTTGTATGAATTAGCATTACAAGAAGGAAGCTCGGCACACCCCCACACCCACCCATGCCGAAAACGGGGTTTGATTTCTTATTTTGTACCGGCGGTAATGACTCTGAAATAACAAGCTTGGAACGGTAAGAAAGAGACGAACGTTCGTCCATTTAATGGAAGCCATTATCGGTGTCCCAGTTTTATCCCGTCTCTTTGATTCATTTTCTTTTTTTTTTTTGCCGGCAGATCAAAGCCATTGTGTGAGCGTTGTACGGCGGTGATGCTGCCTACTTTTCGGGGTACCATCTGGTGATACAGCGTTTGTTGTACGTCTCTGTGATGTTTTCAGGAACCCATCAAGGCTTCGCTAACTTTTTGAAGCCAAACTCAGGAAAAAGAAAAAATTGTCTAAATCCATCGGTCACATGTCTTCTTCTGGAATCTCGGGGTGCTTCGTGTATTTCTGATGTACCGCATGAGACTTCCTGGAATAAAGACCACTCACTGCTGCTCTCTCTCCTTGTGCAGGGTGACTGGTCTTGTCTCCGCCCCCGCCTGTAGTTTTCTATAGTGGGTGGAGCCGGCTGGGCCTCGCCTACAGCTCTGCTCTCTCTTCTTAAACAGGGTGACTGGTCTTGTCTCCGCCCCCACCTGTAGTTTTCTGTAGTGGGTGGAGCCTGCTGGGTCCCTCCCACAGCTTTACTTTTTCTTCTTGTGCAGGGTGACAGGTCTTGTCTCCGCCCCCACCTGTAGTTTTCTATAGCGGGTGTAGCTGGCTGGGCCCCTCCCACAGCTCTACTCTCTTTTCTTGAGCAGGGTGACTGGTCTTGTCTCCGCCCCCACCTGTAGTTTTCTATAGAGGGTGGAGCCGGCTGGGCCCCTCCCACAGCTCAGCTCTCTCTTCTAGAGCAGGGTGACTGATCTTGTCTCCGCCCCCACCTGTAGTTTTCTATAGAGGGTGGAGCCGGCTGGGCCCCACCCACAGCTCAGCTCTCTCTTCTAGAGCAGGGTGACTGGTCTTGTCTCTGCCCCACCTGTAGTTTTCTATAGCGGGTGGAGCTGGCTGGGCCCCTCCCACATCTCTGCTCTCTCTGCAGCAGCCTTTCTCAATCGAGGTGCCGTCTTGCTGTCTTCTCAGGCACTACAGGTGAGGCGCCCTCTTGCTGTCTTCTCAGGCACTACAGGAGAGGCGCCCTCTTGCTCTCTTCTCAGTCACTCAAGGTCGAGGTGCCGTCTTGCGTCTTCCAGTCTTGCTCTCTTCTCAGTCACTACATGTGAGGCGCCCTCTTGCTGTCTTCTCAATCACTGCAGGTGAGGCGCCCTATTGCTGTCTTCTCAATCACTGCAGGTGAGGCGCCCTCTTGCTGTCTTCTCAGTCACTACAAGTGAGGCACCGTCTTGCTGTGTTCTCAGTCAGTACAGGTGAGGCGCCCTCTTGCTGTCTTCTCAATCACTACAGGTGAGGCGCCCTCTTGCTGTCTTCTCAGTCACTACAGGTGAGGCGCCCTCTTGCTGTCTTCTCAGTCACTACAGGTGAGGCGCCCTCTTGCTGTCTTCTCAGTCACTACAGGTGAGGCGCCCTCTTGCTGTCTTCTCAATCACTACAGGTGAGGCGCCGTCTTGCTGTCTTCTCAGTCACTACAGGTGAGGCGCCCTCTTGCTGTCTTCTCAGTCACTACATGTGAGGCGCCTTCTTGCTCTCTTCTCAGTCACTACAGGTGAGGCGCCCCTTCTTGCTCTCTTCTCAGTCACTACAGGTGAGGCGCCCTCTTGCTGTCTTCTCAGGCACTACAGGTGAGGCGCCCTCTTGCTGTCTTCTCAGGCACTACAGGTGAGGCGCCCTATTGCTGTCTTCTCAATCACTGCAGGTGAGGCGCCCTCTTGTTGTCTTCTCAGTCACTACAGGTGAGGGCGCCCTCACTGTCTTCTCAGTCACTACAGGTGAGGCACCGTCTTGCTGTCTTCTCAGTCAGTACAGGTGAGGCGCCCTCTTGCTGCCTTCTCAGTCACTACAGGTGAGGCGCCCTCTTGCTGTCTTCTCAGTCACTACAGGTGAGGCACCGTCTTGCTCTCTTCTCAGTCACTACAGGTGAGGGGCCCTCTTACTGTCTTCTCAGTCACTACAGGTGAGGCGCCCTCTTGCTGTCTTCTTAGTCACTACAGGTGAGGCGCCCTCTTGCTGTCTTCTCAGTCACTACAAGTGAGGGCCCCTCGCTGTCTTCTCAGTCACTACAGGTGAGGCGCCCTCTTGCTGTCTTCTCAGTCACTACATGTGAGCCGCCCTCTTGCTGTCTTCTCAGTCACTACAGGTGAGGCGCCCTCTTGCTGTCTTCTCAGTCACTACAAGTGAGGCACCCTCGCTGTCTTCTCAGTCACTACAGGTGAGGCGCCCTCTTGCTGTCTGCTCAGTCACTACAGGTGAGGCGCCCTCTTGCTGTCTTCTCAGTCACTACAGGTGAGGCGCTCTATTGCTGTCTTCTCAATCACTACAGGTGAGGCGCCCTCTTGCTGTCTTCTCAGTCACTACAGGTGAGGCGCCCTCTTGCTGTCTTCTCAATCAGTACAGGTGAGGCGCCGTCTTGCTGTCTTCTCAGTCACTACAGGTGAGGCGCCCTCTTGCTGTCTTCTCAATCAGTACAGGAGGCGCCGTCTTGCTGTCTTCTCAGTCACTACAGGTGAGGCGCCCTCTTGCTGTCTTCTCAGTCAGTACAGGTGAGGCACCCTCTTGCTGCCTTCTCAGTCACTACAGGTGAGGCGCCCTCTTGCTGTCTTCTCAGTCATTACAGGTGAGGCGCCCTCTTGCTGTCTTCTCAGTCACTACAGGTGAGGCGCCCTCTTGCTGTCTTCTCAGTCACTACAGGTGAGGCACCGTCTTGCTGTCTTCTCAGTCACTACAGGTGAGGCGCCCT